ATCACACGAACAATATGTAATTATGTGTTTCTCCTGATGGTCTTAGGCGTCCCCTGTGAAAGGGTCCTTTGACCCCAACGGGTCTCGACCCACAGATAGAGAACTGCTCCCTTAAGGGAACCTAAGAGATGGGGTGGGGGTGGCAGTGCCTCACGTGACAGGAGGGAAGGCCCTGGGAGGAGAGTGAGGAGCCAGTGTCTTTGGCTGCAGGTTAGACAGGATGGGAGTCCATGGGTGGGGGGTTGGGTCAGGATGGGGCAGGGCAGAGGCAGGGTCTGGGGAGGAGGGTCCTCAGCAAGAGGGGCCCAGTCCACATGGGGAAGGTCAGGGTGACACAGGAAGGGGGGAGGCAGCTGTGGACAAGACGCACCCCTGTCCCCGCAGACGGTGGGCAAGAGCAGCAAGATGCTGCAGCACATCGACTACCGCATGCGCTGCATCCTGCAGGACGGCCGCATCTTCATCGGCACCTTCAAGGCCTTCGACAAGCACATGAACCTGATCCTCTGCGACTGCGACGAGTTCCGCAAGATCAAGTAAGGCCGCTTTCTCACGGGACATGGGTGGCGTCTGTCTTTGTAATTTTGCGTGGCTGTCAGAGAGGAGGGGGGAGAAATAGGAGGAAACATCCCTGATCATCATTGATCAGGTGCCCCTGCACGCCCTGACCTCCAGGTCAGGTGGACCTCAGCCAGGGGAGGCGCACCAGCCAGACACTGTCTCTCTGTCCACTCTGCTCAGAACAGGGACCATCTGCCCATAGCAAGTCCTGGAGGCCACTGTCTGTCCAGCCTCCTCTGCTCCGTGGGAGGAGCCTGGGGGCCTCTCCCATAGGAACACCCTGCAGACCTGCTGCTGACGGGGGCGGGGGGGCACTGGCCCCCATCTCCCATGGCCCTTTGTGGGAAAGGAGACCAGGATGTCACATGGTTCATCAGCCTCTTTATCTGCTGGCCCTCGGTGCTCATTACTGTCCCCTTCCTTCTGGTCACCATCGGAGTTCAGTGAAAAGGGATTTTAAGAACCTCCCCAACAGTGAGGCTTTCATTGCCTGATGGTCTTAGCTCAGGCAGTTGCGTCT